GAGGGAAGTGGTGTGAGGGATAGGGGTCCGCAGGCCCCCAGAGCGCCAAGTCCGCGGCACAGGGAGACGAGTCACCCTCCTTTGTGACTGTCCTCGAGACTCCTCCGCCCGGGCCAGGGGCAGCGGACAAGGGTCTAAGGCGGGTCCTGTGAGTGTCCGGGGCGCGAGGGCTGCGTAGGGAAGGGCGCGAGGCCCAATAAGGACCCTCGGATGCAGCGCTGGAGCGGGCTGCGGGGCTGACGCCCCTCACGACGGCGCGGTGCCCAGGGCTGCACCGTCACATGGGCCTGACACGCGCCCGTCTCGGAGGACTCTCCGGAGAATCCCGTGCAATGGCCCAAGCAGAGCTCCGTGACATGCTTCCCACTCGATGAAAGTGAGCTGTGCTGATTTGATAACAATGAAGATACTATCATATGAAATGTCATAATACAGCATCTAATGTGCACTTAGATGGAACACAGGTCATCAGAACTATCACTTCTCTTTCTTTCGTGCCTCCCAACGCCATGGTGTTGACCCGTTGCTGGGGAGGAGACTGTGCGTGAACTTAGGGAGAGCAAAGGAATCACGTTTCACGCCAAAGATCCTCTTTACATCTGAGCAGGCTGCCTGGCTGGGGGAGTGAAGACTCGTTTGAGAATTAAAACCCAGGTTTGACCCCTTCGTTCAACAGCCAACGTGGGAGGGGGGGAGGACACGCAGCTGCAGCCAGAGGCACGTGGGTGTGAGCCGACTGCGGGACCGCGGACAGGTCCTTGGTGTCTGGGAGCCTCAGTCCATCCGTGCACATGAATGACAATGGCTACCGTGCCATTGTCACCGTACCGTGCCATTGTACTGTGCCACAGGGACCCTGTGACCTGGCATCAGGGCCGCCCGTGAATAACTTGGCTACTTTTTTGCCTTTAGACTCTGCCCTTCCCTTCCGCCCAGCACCTCTCTCCTTCTGGGTGGTGTGCTCGGCACGGGACCTGCCTGGCGGCCGTTCTTGATGCAGAAGCACTTTCCCCGCCGTGACCGCGGGTCTCAGGAGATAAACTGGAGCAGGCAAGCCACCAGGGCACACTTAACGGAGGGGACTCGGTGTCCACGCACGGCTGGACGCCGGGACACGAGACGGATAGGACAGCCCTGGCCCTGCCCGTAGGAAGTGCACTTTTCTCCGTCAGCGTCTGACATACAGTAGGTGCCCGATAAGGGCTTGGAGAGACTGAGGGAGACGAGAGGCGGAAACTCGAGGAAGGGGGACGAGGGGAGAAAGCGCGAAGACCCCCTGGGTCGCGGGAGCCGCCTGGGAAGCGCTGCGCCTGCGGTGACGGGCGGGGTTGCTCAGGGAGGCCTGGGGCAGAGGGTGCACCCCAGGAGGACGGAACAGTGAGGACACGAGCAGGTGACATCGGCGACCAGCTGACACAGCGCTGGCATCGAGCACCTGGGGAGAGGAGAAGTCGGATTCCAGAGGCTGCAGTCCCGGCTGGGAGGCCGGGCGTGACCTGCAGACAGTGGACAGCCATGAGATTCCACCCCTGCAAAGGGGAAACCAAGAAAAGTGGAGATTTAGGAAGAAAACCCAGGGCAGTGTGCGCGACGGACGAGGGGAGCGCTCAGCCTGTCGCCAGAGCCCGGGCTGCGCTTGGGCCGGGGCGGGGGGACGGAGAAGAAAAGGGGAGGCTGAGAGAGATGGGGAGAGAGGCTGGGCCACACTCGGCGATGGTGACAGGTTAAAAATAAAGTCCCAGCTACCGGGGAGGCTGAGGCGGGAGGATCACCTGACCCCGGGAGGTCAAGGTCACAGTGACCTGTGATTGTGCCACTGCACTGCAGCCTGGGCGACAGATCAAGACCCTGTCTCCAAAAGAAATACAAATAAACATGGTGAGGGGCACTCACTGCCAGGCTCCGCGCCGGGCGTGACGGGAGGACAGCTGCCAGGGCCTGGAGGGGGCCGGGCCCCGCCACCTGCTTCTCGCAGGACGACAGAGCACCGCCCCACAGCAGGCTTCCGTGGGCGTGTGGAATATTCGGACGTCCCCCAGGAGCTCCCCGTGTCCTTGAGGCTCTACGCAGGAGGAGACAGAAATGACCCCTTCTTCGGAGTCGGAGAGGAGATGGGCGAGAGCAAACAGCAGCGCGGGAGGGCAGCAGCGTCCTTCCACTGCTCACCTGCGCAGAGCGCCGCGGCTGGCACCTGTGCTCCCGGCGCGGACGGGGCGGTCCCATCCCTTTGCCTCACCCGAGATCCACTCCAGACTCTCAGGAACACTCAGTTTAAGACCCGTGGAAAAAGCATCTCACTGATTTGAAAAAAAAAAAAAGTACTTTTAACATAAGGTGCAAAAATTAAAATTAGACTGGAGAGGGAAATTGTCAATTAGAGTACTAACTGTCCCCCCACAAAAGTAATTTGCAAGTCATGTTTTTTGAGTGGTTGTTCAGCACTATCCTGTGTTTCTCCCCCACAGAAACATTCTTCCCACAGAAGAGCCAAGCAGGTCCCAGCAGACAACCGTGACAGCAGAAGCCCTTAGGATGGTGGCCGCAGGGCCCTGTCCCCGCCCCCCGCCCCCCAGCCTGCTCAGATCCCACCCACATCTGCTCTGCCCTCCTAGACCCCAGGTGCCTGCCCCTCTCCTGGCTCAGCCGGCCCTCCACAGTGGCCTCGTGACCACCCGGAATCCATCCCGCCTCGCCTGGTCTCGCAGGTGGCCTCTCCCTCGGGGCACCAGCCAGTCCAGCCCACCCTGGCCCCGGGAGCCTCCTGTGCCCCACCTCCCCGGGCACTCGCACCCCTCCTCCCGTCCTTCCTCCGAGAGGAAGCAGGACTGGGGGACGGGACGGCCGTCTGCTGCAGGCGCTGCCCGGTGCTGGCATTTCGGACCTTCTCTCAGTGCCCGCCAGCTCCCAGCTGACAGCCTGCTGACGCCCTCCGACAGCACAATCCCTGGCAGCTACGGGCTGCCTGGACTCTGCCCTTCTTGCAAGAAAGATTTTGAGACAAAAGAATGAGCCGCGAAATCAGCGCTAGAGGAAGGGGACAGCCCTCCCTGCCCACCCCGTCCTGTCCGCCCGCGTGCCCCCGCCCCCACCTCCGCTCCTTCCTTTCTCCCCCTCGCTTCACTCTGCTCACTTTCTCCTCTCATCTCTTCCTTCCTTTTCTCTCCTGTTCTGGTGCCAGAAACAGTCTAATTACAACAGAGAACTTGAAGAGACAGAGAGAGAGAAAAAAAGATCACCATACACAGCTGATTAAAATGTCCTGTAAAATCTAATTTGTAAAGCCCAAATCAGAATAAGAAGTGTTACTCCCAGAACTCAAGGCCAATTTGATTTCTAATGAGACTCCTCAGACCCCGCCAGGATCTCAGCAGGCTGTGGCCCGGCTTCCGTCCCGCCTGCCGCCGTCTGCTGAGATCATGCCTCCCTGGGGAGAGGCCCAGCTTTGCCGTCTGCCCTCCCTGTACGCCAAGTGCCCCTTCCTGGGGTCGCCTGCCGCTCAGCGCTCGTCCTGTGTGTGGTCGGAGCCCAGGGCTTCGTGGCCCTGGGACGGGCAGCAGCCGGCGTCCAGGAGCTCCGTAGCTGACTCTCCCGGGTCAGGGAGCTGTCCCCCCCAGGCCCGGTTTGCCGCTGTGAGGTCTCCGACTGCGCAGAGCAGGGCTGGGAAAGGGTGAGGGCTCAGAACGCAGATGGACCCGAGCTCGAACCCTAGCTCCACCACTCATTAGCTGTGTGACTTTGGGCAGGTTACTGTACCTCTCTGATCCTGGATTCTTTATTGTAAAAAGAAGCTATCTCTGCCCTAAAGTATGAATGTAATTCAGTGGACTGCAGGAGAAAGGCGTATGTGAAGCACTGATGGCATTATGGGCCCGGTGCCCAGCGTCCATGTCCCGCTGTCAACCGTGGCTCTGAGGGAGCACGGATCACGTCACCCCTGCTCTTTAGCAGCTGCCTCCAGGACCAGGCTGAGGGGCCCACACACCGCATAGCTCAGCGACGAGAACATGGTCTTCGGAGCCAGAAAGACGGGTTCACGGCCCCGCCCGCCACCAGACAGCTCCCTGGGCGATGCAGCCTCACCCCAAGCCTCGGTTTCCCACACCCGTGGGAGTGGCGCTCCTGACACCCACAGAAGGCCGCCGCAGGAGGGCAGGCGTGGACCAGGCAGGGACCCGCAGGCGCTGCCCCTGTTACTGTCTCCACCCCGTGCCTCATTGCCCCACCTGGAAAATGGGCATAAAAGCAGCACCTACCGTTTTTAAGTGGTTATGAGGATGAAAATATGAACAGCTAATATTTTAAACCTTAGAACAGAGCCTGGCCTGTCGTACGCACCGTGGATGTGTTTGTTTCGTGAGACACTGGGAGCTGACCAGCTTCGACGGCTCCGTGCCGTCTTGTTTTGGGGTGTGGGTGGGGCGGCGGGGGGTGCACCGCTGACTTCTCCCAAGCGATCACGAGGCTGCAGGAAAGAAGGGGACAGGGAGGGCATGGTGGGGCCCGGCCACCTGCTCCCTCCACCGCACTAGCCACAGGGCCACCGCCCGCTCCTCTGAACTCGGCCCTCGGCCCATCTGGGAGGCTCTGAAACAACAAAACATTTAACCAAAACCACGCCACTCCCCACCCCCACCGCCCTGGTGACAGGCAGGGCCTCTCCTGCGTCTGCACCTTGTGGACGAGCGCCGAGCTGGGGGGGGGTTGCTCAGTGGAAGGGGGGCGGCACATCCCAAGTGGCAGCTGACGGCCCCTGGGAGGCCGGGGCGTGGCTGGGCCACCGCAGTGTTAGGGGTTGATGAGCAGAGGGGCTGCAGCTGGGAGCCGGCCCCGACGGGAGGTGACCGGGCTGGGGCAGAGACGGGGGAAACGCCACCGGACCCCCAGCAGGAAGCCGGGTGCCCCGGGGGGCCTGCGGACCTGCACCAGCCTCCGCTCTGCGTGCGTAAGGGGAGGGCGGCCTTCACCTGCGCGCGACTGACCGTGTGCTTGTGTCCTTCCAGGCCAAGTCTACTCCTTCAGCCAGCAGCCCCAGGACCAGGTGGTGGTGTCGGGACAGCCGGCGACACTGCTGTGCGCCATCCCCGAATACGATGGCTTCGTTCTGTGGATCAAAGACGGCTTGGCCCTGGGTGTGGGCAGGGACCTCTCAAGTGAGTACCTCCCCACCCGTCCGCCCCCAGGAGCTCCCAGCTTCCCAGGCGTTCGGGGGTCAAATCCCCAGCCTTCACTGCAGCTCCCCTGGGCAGAGTCAGGCTGGGCTAGTCCAGAGTCCTGGGACTCCAAGGGCCCCCGACTATGAGTAATGAACCACAAGGACCCCCCGTGCTGGCTGTCAGTCCCAAACCTGACGTGATGTTGCCCCGGAGAGTCTCCTCCAAAGTCAAACATGACTCCCATGAAGTTCGATTTCCAGAAATCGAGTGTTCCTGTTTCTTGGCCCAAAACGTATCCCCCACTTAGCAAGGCGTGACGATTAAGGAAACAGAAGCACAGCCCGGCTCCCAGGCTTCCCACCCACCAACGAGCCAAGAAGCTGAAAACTCACAAAGAAACCTGGTCGATCTTAGGGGCCATCATGTGATGGGAAGGAAAGAAAAGACAGGACACGTCTAAAATAAACTCCAAACCTTGTTCAGCCCACCCAGGCCGGGGTTCCCCAAAGCTGCCCCGGAGAAATGGGGGTCCCATGGCTGTTGACGGCTGGCGTGCAGACTCACTGGCTCGCGTTAACTCTTGTGAATGGGGACCCCGTAAGCCCACACAGACGCCTCTCCAGTCCCTCCTCTCCCCGGGGGAAGCAAGAACGGAATGGTCCCCGTGGTCCTGTCACGCGTCAGCCGTCATCCTCCTGCCCTGCAGAGAGTAGGCACGCGGGTGTTTGCCAGGCTTGGCACAAGCCGGCCATCATTGCCCTGTGCTTTGGGAACGGCTGAGGGTGGAGGAGAAGAGAAAAATATTATTCGGCTGGAAAGTAACTTTGCCTCTCCCATGGCATGCAGCTGCAGGAAACTGAAAACCAAGTGATGCTTGGGAAATTAATGTTTTAAAATGCGAGTTATGTCTTGCCAAAAACGGCTATTGAAACATGATAGCAATGGTCAATAGTCGTCTCAGGGTTTGAATGCTGCAGCCCAGCTGAGCGTGGATAAAATACACAATAATATCTCCGAAATATACTGTGCTGCCGTAAAGCTTCAGCGTTATGGGAACCAGCCAGTTTCAGAGACTCTGAACTCCCTTCCCCTAGAGAAACGGGGCAGTGATAGGACCGTCCCCAGCTAGACCGCTCATGCTCCGGGGGCTGTGGGCCCGGCGTGGCCCTGGTGCTGGGTCAGGTGGCCGTCTGGTTTCCTGGCCAGTGGTTTTCAGCCTTCAGTCAGGGACAGGGGCTTGTTGGGTCAGTGGCCAAGAGGAGGCCCAGGTCACTAGGGATTGTTCACAGAGTGGTCACCGTGGCATAGATCATTGACTCCCTGGCTTCCCGTTCCATAAATGGCTCCTGGAATCCAGGATTGGGGCCTGCTCAGCACTGAAGGACGGAGGCCTCTCGTGAGCTAGGGTCTGTTTCCTGTCCAGCCTGACTCGGTTGACCCTCTCCGTGCAGAGCCAATGAACACAGCTCCTGATAAAAAAGTAGTTTATGCCCTATGTTTGATCACTTGTCCCAAAAATAGCGTCATGGCAATAATGGTAGATGCTTGCGTGCTCAATAAATACTGCTCGCGTGCCTGGTGAGAAAGTCGACATCACAGAACTCAGCTCCGTACGGCAAGTATTTGCAGAGAACTGAATACCGCAGACGTTTTCCAACAGGGAACCGGGCCCAGAGCAGTGGGACTTCAGCCGGCTGTGTCCCTGTCCTCTCCCGTTTCAACCGCGCAGCCCCACCGAGTCTGCCGGGAATGGTACCCTCGCTGAAGACCTCAGTGTCTTTCTGGTCACCAAGGCCAGGAAAAGCAGTCAAGGGAAATGATTTATAAAAACACTCCCTCGTGTTGATAGAACATTTTTCTTCCGAAAATCTCAAGTACTTCTCAGACATTATCTCATAAATCTACAATGGCCTGGAGGGGGAGAAGAAGGATTTTCCCCTTTCTTTGACAGGTAAACAAAGTCACAGTTGAGAAAGAAGTTGACTCAATTATATAACCAATCCCAATGCATGAGGCTCTGAGTCTTAACCCCAATGGGCCCAAAACCCTGCCTGCTCTCCCTTAGAAAGGTGAAGACTTCTTTGGCTACCTTACCTTATTCACTCTTGTTTTAATTTCAGTTAGCATTTATAGACTACTTACTGTGTGCTAGCACTTCACGGAGGCTATTCTATTTAATCTTCACCATCACCTTACGAGGCAATGGTATTGTCCCCCTTTTACCAATAAGGAAACCGAGGCACAAGGAAGTCGAAGTAACTCACCCGAGACAACAGAGCTAGGAAGTGATAGAGCTGGCATTGGAACCCAGGCAACTTGATTGCAGAACCCGGACTCTAAATACTTTTGCCTCCTTTGGCAGTACCAGGAGAGAGTAATGATACTGTGGAAAGAGCTAGAACTTCCTCAGAATCTGTGCTTCTGCGTCTATGTTTTCGAAAGATGCTGCCAGTCCTTGGGATAGCATCACAGCTCCCCGTCTAATTAGGCAAATACAAACAAACCCATCACTGATGTTTTCAGCAGCTCACTAGCGCGAAGTCCTGCTGCTGATAGCTTGCAAGACAACAAAAACACAAGCTCCAGCCAAGATGCCTGCAGGGGACCAGGGACTAATCACAGGATGTGGGGATCCGGAGGCCGGGCTGGAGGGGCTGGGGTCTGCAGCCAGCTACGCTGGGGCAGCGGCAGCAGCACAGAAAGGACTGGACTAGAACCCGCTCCCAGCCCCTGCCCGGCCCTGGGGGCGCCAGCTGAGCTTTCCTGGGCTCCTTCCCGGAGCCCAGCAGAGGGCAGGAGGGGTGGGCAGGAGGAGGGGCAGGGCTCTCGGGCGGACGGCTGACGGCCCTGTGAGCATCTCTGGCCAGGCCAGCACAGCTGAGCAGGCAGGGCCATTCGATCGCACAGCGAGGACAGTGGTAGCTGTGAGGACACAAGCCCGGAGGGCTCAGCTGCACAGGAAGCGCCCACAGAGCACGCCAGGAAGGCTGGCAGAGGGCTGCAGCCCACCCCCGGGAGGCCCGCCCACCCCGCGAGACCCTTAGCTAGTGGAGGTGGGAGGGGCCTTTGAGCTCTTCTAGTCCAATATTTCAGTGTAGAAATCACCTCCGCCCCAGCCCCGAGGGGTGATCGTCCAAGCCCGGCTCAAATACAGCCTGTGACGGGACCTCGCTACTACTTCTGGCGGCCCAGATCCTCGTCGAACACCCCAGACAGTTACGAATATTCTGAAGCACTTCCCCATGTTGATTCTGCTGGTCGGTGTAGTGCCATCTGCGGGAGCTCCACGAACACGGCTAACTCACACTAAGAGCCTTTGAGATATCCGAGGAGAACGCTTACGTATCTCTCTGTCTTCGTTCCCGTTTCTCTCGCACTCGCTCAAGCCCTCATCTTCGCTTTAAAAGGCCAGGTGTGTCCAACCCCGTCCTCCCATGGCACACGAGCTCTCCCGCCATCCTGGCAGGGCCCTGCCGGAGTGGGGGGCAGAGCGTGGGCTCTGAGGAGGGGGGCGCCCAGCACAGGGGTGCGGGGGTCCCATTGTAAATCCGCACTGTACGGTAGCGGGGGGAGGGGGGCAGGCCCAGCGAGGGGACGGATCGACGGTGGGTCCGATGGGGGGAAGCTCTGCCCGCCCGGCCAGCACGCCTTGAGCTGGGGTTTATGTTCAGCCCCGCACAGCAGCAGGGAAGCTGATCGATGACTTGTCATCCTCACACTTTTATTTATCTGTCATTCATTGCCAGCGGTATAAGGGGCCCCGAATTCCTAAGTGTCCTGAGCGCCCCCTAAGTGCTTAGTCAGGCCCCGGGGTTGGGAGTGGGCAGCAGGGATGACGAGACAAGGCCCCAGGGCTCAAAGTGACCGCAGGTCACTCGACCCTGGAGGGTGGGCTCAGATTTCCGCTGCCCGCCCATTCCGACACAAAGCTTCTCCCAAGTCACTCTTGATCATTTTCCGAGTATTTCCCTTTTTTCTTCCTTCCTTCTCTTGCTCTGTCTTCTCTCTGTGTCTGTGCTCCTCCGCCCGCGGCTGTGTTGGTCTGCGTGTGTGTGTCTCCCGCCCGCGCGTGCCTGCTTGTCACGGCGCACGTCCACTCGGCTGTGCGCAGAGCAGAGCACCCGCTTTCCAGAGGGGAACCCGGCCCTGTCTGTCCACACTCAGCATTTTCGTCTCTCTCTCTCCCAGTAGTGGCTCCTCCAATTTTCCTAGACGTAAAACCAACAAAACCCTTGCACACATGCACTGCCCAGTGCCCTGGGAAAGCTCTTGCTTTGTTCTCCCTGCACTGAGATCGGGCCGAGAATCGCCTGCTGGGCCAGCGTCCAGAGGCCCCCTTCCCGGGTCCCCCCCTGCTGTTCCTGTCTGTCGGGAGTGTCTCCTGCACCCCTGCCCAGCCCTGAGCTGCCCGCTGTCTCCACAGGTTACCCGCAGTACCTGGTGGTCGGGAACCACCTGTCAGGGGAGCACCACCTGAAGATCCTGCGTGCAGAGCTGCAGGACGACGCCGTGTACGAGTGCCAGGCCATCCAGGCTGCCATCCGCTCCCGCCCCGCACGCCTCACGGTCCTGGGTAAGATTGCCGGCTGCGCGTTGGGGCGCCAAGGGCTCAGCTCCTGCAGGGTCCTTCCAGCCAGACTGGGGGGGACTCCCGGCTAGACCTCATCCCACAGGGCTCCAGCTACTCCTCCTCCCATGGTGTGCATACCATCCCCCATCCAAAGGGGCAAGCAAAGGCTCCTGCCCTGGGAAATCAGAAGGCCAAAGGCCAACTGGCCACGCATATGTCCTGCTCGGCTGTGTCTGCACCTTAGGAAGCCAACTAGGGCTCCTGGTGCTTATTTACCCGATGGGAAAGCACACCCCGCGTGTACCGTTAGGCAGGGGAGAGTGTGGCGCGGTCCGTGGGGCCCCTGCTTCCGAGCTGACCTCCCTGGAGTACTGACAAGCCTGTCTGTCCACCTCCCCGGTAGCGGCAGCCTGGAGCTGGATTCTCTGTGGTCCCAGTTTCCACGGGGCCCACCAGTGACCCTGGTGCCGTCCCCGCCCCTTGCTGCCCCCTGGGAGTCCCAGCTCTCAGGTCACTCCTGGGAAAGTTCATTTCAGGTCCTTGTTCCGCGCCCTACCTTCCCCCTTGGTCTGTCTTCATCTTGCCTTCCCGGGAGCCCGCTGACCCTGGAACACCCTGCCTGAAGGCAGGGGAATGGGCTCGGCGACCTCTGGCACTGCCTGGTTCTGGCAGAGTTCAGCCTGGCGGTCTCCCTCCTCCAGCAGGTGCTGCTGAGGACCAGGGCCGCCGGGAACCAGGCCTTGCACACAGGCAATAAGCGCTCGCGTTTGCGACGCGGTTTACGGCAGCTCTCAGAGCTCTTGCACGCACACAGCCTCGGCCGTTCTGACGCTACTCCGGGACAGGGAGTGTGACCCCAGATGGAGACTGAGGCTCAGGAGACGCAAAGGGCTCCTGGCCGCAGCTCACAGCCCCTCATGCAGGAGTCTGCCAGGCACGGGTGCGGGTCGCGGGAAGTGCGGGCCGCCCCTCAGCAGCTGTTGTGAAGGCTGGACAGCAGGGTCAGCAGCTGGAGCGCGCGCTTGCCGGGTAGACGGGCGCGGCTGCTCAGAGGCGGAATACTCCGGAGTGTGTCGGGTCATCTGCAGACCCACATGGCCAGATGCACCAGGCCCTTGCTTCCAAGTGCGGCAGCAGACGGCCCGGAGGGCCACTTAGCAAGCTCTGCTCGGCTCCTGGAGGCCGGGGGAGGACCCTGGGGCCGGTCTCAGAAACCTCCTTCAACCTGAGTCTCCTCCGGCCTGTGATGAAAGCAATGAGAAAATGAGCCCCGTCGGGCGGGGCACGTACGCTGGGATGACTTGGCGGGACGTGGCCTTCAGAGGAGTAACAGGGACGTCACGGGAACGGCAGCCAAGGTGGCGGCTACAGCAGGAACCAGCCCACGGTTTGGTGTGGGGGTTGAGGGAGAAGAGGAGGATTTAGGGCCTAATACATTTTTTCTGATTTTGAGGATTGCAAGATGCCAGAAACCGTTTGCTAAGCAAAGTATTAGGGTCTCACCCTCAGAGACGGTTCGGCCCCCATTCTCAGAAGAGGGGCCGGAGATGCCGGAACAAGAGGAACCCGGCCTCGTCCACTCCTCTGGCTCGACGTGGCACCAGACACATTTGTCCCTACAGGGTTTCACCTCCCCAGCCGACCACTTACGCTTCCTTTCCTCTCCGCCGTCTCGGTTAGGTAACGAAGTCCGAAGTATTGAAGCCCACATTATCCCAAACCTTTTATAGATAAGAAAACTGAGTCTCGGAAAGGCAGAAGCACTTACGAAAGGTTACACAGCTTCATTAACATTCAAAATCGACTCCAAACCAATGCTCTCGGCCCGGTCTCTTGCTCCCAAACACCAGCAGAATCTCACTTTTCGCTGGTGCAAGCCGGGCTTCTCGGAGCAGTGCTCAGATCCGACCTGCACAGACTCGATTTTGTCTGGGTCACATCCCAAAGGCGTGTGGGTGCCGTGGCCCTGCCCTCTGGGCACAGAGCTGGATTACCTGGGGGATGTTTTACTCAAGCCTGGAGAACAGCCGAAAGGGGCAAGGAGGAGTTTCGAGGACCTCGGCAGGGCCCCCTCCGTGGAGCCCCTGAGAGCCAGAGAGGCAGCTGAGCAGGCGTCTTGGCCGGCAGCCTTTCGGGCAGTGTCCACGGAAACCCTCATCCTGAGCAGGCTGACCGCAGGCAAGGCAGAGCTTCCCCACTCTGCCCACTGTCCTCCCCACCAGCCCCACAGCGGGCCCTGGAGGGCCCCAGCAGGCCGAGCTTCTCTGGGTGCAGGGCCCCACCTGCTGCCCTGGAAGAAGGCCCCAGTGCGGAAGCCGACCCGGCCATCTGGAAAGGGAGCCGTGGGCTGTGCACGGTGGTGGACAGATCGGCTGCTCCCGCAGAGGGAGGAGCGGCGTCTCTGTGCCCTGGCCCAGCCACCTTCCCAACCAAGACCCCATCTGCTTTGCCGTGACATCTCAGCCCAGGAAAATGTCCCAGCCAGTTCCCCACGCGGGGCTGCCTTCCCTGTGTTCCAGGAATGAGAGAGCTTCCTAATTTAGCCTGTATTTGCCTGAGATAGATTTTTAATTAAATAAAGTAAGAGCCTGATTAGAACCTGCAGAAGACGTGAGAGCAGAATCAGACGGTATTCCGGCAACATTGCAAAGCAAACACTTGGGCTGGAACAGAGCGAGGCCTCCCGGGCCTTCCATCAAAGCACCAAGTGAGGAGGGCAAATACGAGAGATTATATAGCCAACAGATGTGCATCGTGAAAACACGCATCTGCCGGCGGCGGCTCGGAGAAGCCAGAGGGCCAGCTCGCAGAGCCCGCCGGGCTCCAGGGAGGGCGCGGGGCTCGGCCTGGCAGCCAAGCCTAGAGTCACAGACACGTTAATTAGCGTTGCGTTTCCAGCTCTCAGATGCAATCAGGAAGGAGCAACTTGGAGCTGAGCACTCGCTGCCGGGGAGACAGAGGAGGGAGCTAGGAAGTGAGCAGGGAAAGGGGGAGGGGTCGGTGTGCGACGCTGAGAGAGGCGAAGACCGGGGTCCCGTCAGGGTCAGCGCCGGCCGCGTTCCCTCTGTGGCCCGGCCGGCTGCGAGGTCCAGGAAGGCCTCAGCCCAGGTCAAGACGCGCGTCCTCCTGCGCCTGCAGAACATCTCAGGGATCGTGGTGCCAGAAAGGGCCGCACACCCGAGGCCACACGCACGGTTCTCGGCCTTCTGGATCCCGGTTTCCTCTTCCCTGAAGGGGAGGTGGCGGTAAATGTGAGGGTCGCCAGAGCTGCCCGGCTCCGAGGAGGACACGACTGCCACCGTCAGCCGTTTTAGGGGATCGGCCATCCCCGCAGGAACCGAGCCGTGTGCCCACTGAGGCGCGGAGGGAGGTGATGCGGGTGCTTCAGACGGCGCCCCCCTTCGAGGCTGGGAGACGGCGCTTCCCGAGGTCCTGCCCAGCCTGGGGTCCTGCACGTGCCTGTGGACCCCACCCCGAGTCCTCCCTGCAACTGGCCTCTGCGTCTGGTGTTCACGGGTCCCGGCCCTCGCAGAGCCTCGGCCCGGCGCACATCGCAGGCCCCGTGAGCGGCGCAGAGCTGCGCCGTGGTAGGGGGAGCGCTGGGCCGGGAGGTCGGACACCCTCCTGCACCTGGCGGGCTGTGTGGCCTTGGGCAAGGTCCTTAGGGCTGCACCTGGTTCTCTTTGGCTCCACTCTCCATAACCAGTGCTTAGCACAGAGCAGGTATTCAGCAATATTGGGCTTTTGCTGACGAATGAATGAAGAGTTTCTGGTTCTTCATCTATCAAACGGGGGTTATGAAAATATCCGTCTCATAGGGTCATTGTGAACCTCAAACACACACACACACACGCTCTGGAGACAATACAGGGCCACGCACTTCAGCGCTGTACACACGTGCGCAAGCATGCAGACTGCTCCTTTTCCCACCTGCAGGAATGCCAGGGTCAAAGAATATCCAGGTTATTCCAAGGTCAGAGCTATAAGGCTGGCATTGCACTTGACCTTTCCGGGAAACTTGGGAAGCAAGGAGTCGGGGGACCCGGAGCAAGGAGGAAATGAGTGACAAAGATTTGATCAACAAGTATTTACCGAACACCTGCTACATGCCAAGCACCGATCCAGACACTTGGGATTCATCAGTAAACAAAAGAGAAAACCACCCTGCCTTGCTGGAACTCGCATTCTGGCAGCGAGCGAGACAGCTGACGGGTGACACACAGACTGAACACGTGAGCTGCGTCGTCAGTGGGACGTTAGTTGGTGACAGACGCCATGGGAGGGAAAGCGGAGCAGGATGGGAAGACCAGAGTGGGGGGAGGGGTGCTGAGTGTCGGATTAATTATTGAAAAGGGCATTTTCCCAGCCTCCCTCCCCACTTCCCTCTTCTTCCTGGCTCGTTCTAATATTAACTCTGCTGTCTTGTGGCTCTCGTTAGAAATAAGGCTCCCTAAACCAACATGAATTATTTAAGAGGGAGACTAAGTCAATTCAAATAAAGGGGGCATCTTTTCAAACGATGTCAAGCCCTGGATGCTGAGAGGGGCAAACAGATAAGGTCCAATCTGTTACATGTCCATAACGTGTTCGTTTTCAAAACCATGCCTTCCCTTGGCCACAGCTCTGCCGGGGGAGCCGCAGGGTCTCCTGGGTCCACCACGCTGGCAGCCCCCGCTAATTCCCAATCCCCAAATCCCCCAGGGAGCAGGGTCCAGAGAGGAGCAGGGACTAACTTGGGGTCTGGCAGCGAGGGAAGGCAGAGCGGAAACAGCCCGAGGGCGCTGGCTTCTAAACCGTTCTTCCAGAAACTGGCTGTGAGAAAGCCACCCACAGTCACGGTACAAAGGCAGGTCAGAGGGGACGGCCTGAGCAGTTCTCCAGGGGCGAAAGCAGAACGAGGCCCATGCTCCCGCCAGGGCACCCTGGGCCTTCGGAGGCCAGACCCACCACCCACCTGCTGGAGCGCTAACAACCAGCCTGCAGCTCCTCCGCTCCCCAGGCCT